CCTCCCCATAGGAAGTCTCTAACAACTTTCTTTGTCTCAATTTTATGCTCTGCTAACACTATCATAACTTCACTTCAAGAAAGATTTCTTTTCATTTTATTTTCAGGCACTTCTTTGAAATAATTTCTAATAATTTTTTTTACTTCTAGGATAAAATTCGATAGTAGCATATTTTACAGAAAAACAACTTATGAAATTCAAAAAAGTAAAAAAAGTACGAAAAATGACCTTATCTTGTCCATAAAGAGAAATAATAACATTAAAATGTGAGGATCATTGCTTAGCAAATATTAGACTTTATTAGACCCCTCTTCAAGATAGAGTTCAATCTTCAAAAGAATATGCTCTGATTAGAAATATTCCATAAACCCAAATGGAAACACCGATAGACTTCTTGATATTTGAGCCCTTCCTTACTTTGCGATTATCGTACTTTTTTGGGTTATTTCTATCTAATTTCAGTTACACCTGGTCTTTGTCAAACACCAGTGATTGGCGGCAACTGTCGCCTCGGCACTTCTGATGTTCAAATCGGCGGCAAACAAACACAATTCTTCTTGAAATGTGAAGCTACAACAGAGTATGTTCTACTAATCTATCTTTACGTTCTACTTTACGCATTTTTGCACAATTTCACTATATTCAGCAGCTCACCTGGTGAAGGTGTGTGGGTGGTAAAGTCTCGTGCAGCAGCCGCTGCACCATCAGGCAGCAGCGGTAGTTCATCTGCAGGTGCTGCTTTACCAGTGGAAAATACACAACCACAGCAGCATCCAAAACTTATGCGAAAACTCAATGCACCGAATATTTGCGGTTAGTTTAAGATTTCAATTTTTTAAAAAAATTTCCTTTGTTTCTCCACTGCTAGATTGTTGGGACAGTTCCAAGGGATTTATACGGTTAAACGGGCCCAAATTTGGGCAACAATGAGCGTCAGCAGAGGAGTGGCAGCTGTCGCTCAATGTTGTGACAGTAGCCGCCTCTTATCCGCTACAGTCAGTGATAATCGAAGTTCAAACATGGCGTAGTGGACGTGAGCGCAAACAGCGCAAGACTGCTGCGCCTGGTCGCGCGCTGTTGGACCGCGAGCCGTAACAGAGCAATTAGTTGCGCACCCGGAAGAACAATGTCGAGCCCAAGCTCTTCAAGTGTGCAAGCAAGCAAATTACATATCGGGACATTACGGGCCTACCATACAAAAAGCATGCTCATCGGGTTCAACGAAGGGTAGGATGGGGAGAATAATGCTGCAGAGTATTGTTTTCATGAGAATAAAGGCGCATTTCCACCGTAATCGACGCAAAATTGCAAGGTTAAGAAAAATAAACTGCGTCTGCTTTTGAGCTTTGAGCTGTTCTGCTGCACTTTTACTTGTTACAATAAAAACCGCAGTTTAACGCACTTAAATTTATCAAGAGTATCTTGCAAGTTTTTGCAGTAAACCATTGAGGATGGTCGAATGTTCGGATAATGACCTTGTATTCCATATAAAGAGGTTTTATTGAGCTTTGCTACGTGATTACGCCATAAGGCTAAGAAACTACTACTTTTTGGTGTACTTGGCATTTGTCAG